GATACTTGGAATTACTTTTTTTGATTGAATTAAAATCTTATTTTACTTTGTTATGCTCTAGGAGAAAAAAAGTATGATTTATTTTGCAACACCCCTTAATTGTTGAAATGAAGATGGTGGTGGTAATCTGCATCAAAGATCGGTCTCAAGAACTGACAGTAGAGGCTCAATAGCAATTAAATATAGTGACTAGGGATGCACAGGTAGTAAAATTTGGCTGAATACTGGGTCCGGGTATCCAGTGACTAAGCTTTGGCCATGGGCCGGGTGTCAACATGGATCGGGTTCTTCCCCCCCCCAAAAAAAACAACTTACACAAAAATTAGAAACAAAATTGACATTTATTACATTTAACCGAATAATCACCAACAAGATATTCAAGTTTTACTTTCAACGCCTAACCCCAACTTCTCAAACCCTAACCCCTATTTTTCTCAAAACCCTCCACCTTTGCCAAAAACCCATTTCTCAAGCCATGCCTGTTATTAACTCCTATTGTTCTCTGAATCCCTGACTTTCGGCGGGTGGTCAGTTTTTGTTGTTTGGAACACGTTTTTCTTTTATTTAAACCAATTATTGACTGTGACTTTCAGTACCGTGTTAGTTGCCACAAAGATTAGGGTTTAGATGTTTAACTTCGACACTCAGCCAGAGCCAAGTATTACCGGATAGCTCAATACCCGGCCAGGGTTGAATATCCAGCTGGGTTCTTGTGCATACCTAATTATGACTGTGGTGGCTAAGTTAAGTGCCCTAGTTCTTCCTCATGTTCTTTGAGCTAATGTTTTATAATTTAATTAGTATGAACTGGTGCAGTCTCTTCCTGAAACAGACATGGATAAAATCTGATTTTCGATAACATTTAAGTAATAATTTGCTGTTATTTTATCTCAGTGAACTGTTCCAACAATAACAGCATCATAGAGCCTCGAACCTGCTTAGCTGATGATACAAGACACTCAGAGTTGTAAAATATTTTTGTAAATTACCATATATAAACATATCCATTTGATGGGCAGGGTGTAAAAGATAATTCATCTGATAAAATCATATTCTTTTATAGATCTTCAGTCCAATTTTTACTTTCTTTCCACCATTTTCCTTGGACATTTGGTGTTAGTAGAGATCTCTGAATGGCAGACCTACCATGGTAAACCATCTTTTTCAGTTCCCTTTGAGCTGTTTTGAAAAAGATTTGATGTTGTAGACCAATCTTAATTTCTACACACACTCTTGATGCTGTACTCTATTGTTTTCATCTTCATACCTGTGTTGATGTTCATCTGTCAACTTACTTTTTTTAACCACTCTTATTTTCGTCTAATGTGGTTCTGTTTTCTGACATAGGTTTTGACACCATTCCTTTGGAAAGGTTCATTATTTTGGCCACCTGGAGGTGTCACTTGTTTCAACCACTTACACCATTATAAAGTAGTGTGTTGTCTGTCAGTCGACACTAAAATGACGTTGCTTAACATTGCAATTTGTACTGTTGTGATGTCAGTAAAATATGAGCATGCCATGAATCAAAAGAAAAATTATGCACTCAGTAGGTTACAATACAGCATGATATGAACTTCAAAAACAAGAAATAAAAACATTTGCTACTCTTAATTTTGGGGACCCCGTGGAAGTACAACTAGTGTTTGTGACACTGAGAATCCAGATAGATGTTCACTCACCATCATGCCTCCTTGGAAATTGACATTTTTAGAACCTTTTTGTGAAAAAACAATAATATACTATGTTTATACAGACAAATTTAATGATGTAGAACAACTTTATCCACAGTTGAATTACCATATGGCTTTCCATTTTTATATATGTGTGTGTGTAAAAGTAACTTCTTTCAGAATAACTAGGTAAATGCTTTAATTCTTTGTTTAATGTACATGCTTTCTTCCAGGTAGACTCTTCAGACATTAGTAACTATAACATTAAAGGACAACAAAGAACCATCTAGGCTGTCCTGTCCACTGAATTAAACTAAACCCTAAAAAACAACAACCTCAAAGACAGCAATTATCATTTAAATATTTATCATGCTTTCCATTGAACTCCTTTAAAGGGGAAAACAAGTACAGAAATCTTAACCTATCCTCATATGATAATATTCCCATCCCAAGTATCATCTTATTAGCCCTTCTCTGAACCAATTAAATGTCTTTTCTAAGGTGAGGAGTCCAAGACTGAACACAGTACTTCAAATGTGGCCTGAACACTGACCTGATGACACAGATGGTGTTATATATACATATATTTCCAGCCTTTGTTTTCTAATTTTGATCTTTTGTATTGCAGGCTGACCATCGTACGTGTCAAAGCAGTTGTTATTGTAAATGTTTTTCTCTCTATTTTGTTTTGTTCATTTCAACCTAAAGCATAATAAGTCTTGATGAAATTGAACTCACAGCAATTTTACTCACAAGATTTTACGATCATTTACCTTTCTCATCCTTCATTCTCAATTTGAGATCAAGAAAGCCTTGTTAAATGCTGCTTCATAGCCAAAACAAATTGTAGAAATTTCTAAAATTATCACAATTAGCAATATCACTCAATACAATATTGCAACTTAATTTTATCCTAAACACAACTATTATTTGTTGGTACCAGTGAGTGGGCTACACTTCCAGCTGTTACAATAAGTCCACTGAGAATAACCTGTAAAGTTTTTTAACATAAAGAAATAATTATATACTTTCTCTTCAAGTCCAGTTTATGATGTTTTGACTTTCATAACAAAATTACAAAATCACTTTAAAATGAAATTCAACATTTCTTTGTAATATGTACAGTATTTTCTACCTTCATTCACCGTATATGTTCATTGAGATAATACTTGTCAATATGACATTCATCTGTAGCTATTAAAAACATTCATACAAACTAAGATTTATTATCAAACCAACATTCTGCTATAATTTTTTTCTGGGGGTTCATATATGAAATTGGGCAAACTTTCTCAATGTTAAATCAAATTGATTGAAGACAAAAGGAAATAGCTTTGTTTCCAGTGGTCCATCATTCAACCCAGTGATGGATCTATACTAGTTACTAAGATTCTAACAAACTGTTTTATATTTAAAATAGTTCCTGATTCCTCGTTTGAGTTAAAAGGAAATATTTTTAGATTTAGAACTTGGTCTCAATATATCACTTTATATGGTAAAATATATTTCACGTATGTTTAAAAACCTTTATACTTTGGTAATAATAAACAAAACTAGAGAATTTGCATTACAACACTTTCATGTTATATGATATAAACTTCCTATAAGAAGGATTTGTAACTCTACTATTACATCACTGGAGTACTGGCATTACAACACTTTCATGTTATATGATATAAACTTCCTATAAGAAGGATTTGTAACTCTACTATTACATCACTGGAGTACTTGCATTACAACACTTTCATGTTATATGATATAAACTTCCCATAAGAAGGATTCGTAACTCTACTATTACATCACTGGAGTACTGGCATTACAACACTTTCATGTTATATGATATAAACTTCCCATAAGAAGGATTCGTAACTCTACTATTACATCACTGGAGTACTGGCATTACAATGCTTTTCACGTAATGCCATTTAAACTCGCCATACAAAGGGTTAATAACTAATATTACCAACTAGGGAGCAATGTTATAATCAAATCTGTGTATGTAATAACTTATCTGATTGTGATAAGTTGTTTCAAACTGTCAGTTTCCTGTACTGTCAAGGTGTAGAGTGACATACAAAACTGGTACTGAAGACACTGTTTGTATTTATTAATTTCTTATAATAGTATCTGTTTGATTAGAGAAGCTTGAATACTTTCATTTCTCTGGAAAATTACAAAATTGTATACCATAATGTGCATACTTCAATAAACCTAATTGATTTCAGTACATCTCACCAGTAC